GTGAGGGGGGAAGGTAGAATCCCCACTGAATAGTATTCACCTTGTCTGTATGGGTCTAGTGAAAGGAGATGGGGATAAGATTCTTATGATTCAATAGTGAGTAACTGTTATCATGACTAATTTTGACTGTCACAATTGTAAAGGTAGAAGTTTTATAACAAAAAGAAGGGAGCAATTAACCTTACAGTCCAGGAACAGAGGACCCTAGGAACATCAAGGGAGAAGAGCAAGAGCAGAACGTAGGACCCTAGCCAGAGAAGCAGTGACACCAGAGATGGAGACAGAGATGAGCACATAGAGAAAGATAGCAGCTAAGGACTCTAGACTCATGGAACAAGAACAGTTGTGTGCTGGCAGCCAGGTGCTGGTGGTCAGGAGGCAGGCTTGCAGAATGTGCCTTCGGTTGTTTAAATTATTATATATTCCTGAATGTTTCTGTGTACATCCTCCACCCACCCACCCAGTCACAAAAAAAAAAAACCAGAGGGAATAGAAGCAAATATTATTGAATGATGACGCATGGAGGAGATTGTAATCATTGCAATGAAATGATGAATATAAAACTGATGTTTCCCATGTAAACTATCACTCAATTCACAATAAAAACTTAAAAAAAAAAAAATAGAATGTTTAGCTTCTGGTATAGATGATATTAGGAAAATGCTGGATAGTATTGTACAATAGAATGAAAAGCAAAAATCCAATTAAGGGTCTCTCTCTCTATATTTCTTTATAAAGATGTATATTATCTCCCCAAGGAAGATCTTAATTAAAAATATACATATATAGATATTTTAAAGAAAAAAACAAAACAAACTCTTTGTGAACCAGCTAGGTGGCACGTTTGCCCGTGTCTACTGGGTTGGGTGCCCAATTTTGCAAAATTGAATTTTTAAAAAACCCTCACTCTCGCTAACAACAACAAAAATGAGGTCAGAAAGGTTGGTTGTTGTTGTTGAGTTCCATGAAGTCGGTTCCAACTCATAGTGACCCTGTATAGGATTTCTCAGGAACAACTGGTGGGTTTGAACTGCTGACTGTGTGGTTAGCATTCCAGTGCTTATCCTCAGTACCACACCAGAACGCCATAAAGGCTTGTGTTGTTGCTGTTGTTAAATACCATCGAGTCAGTTTTAACTTATAGCAACACTGTATAGGGTTTTGAAGGAGCAGTTTACAGGTGTGAACCATCATCTTTTGGTTTGCAGTCCAGTGCTTATCCTACAGTGCCATACTAGGAGTCCATAAAGGTTGGTTGTTGTTGTTGCTAAGTGGCATCAAGTTGGTTCCAACTCATAGCGACCCTGTATAGGGTTTCCAAGGAGCAGCTGGTAAGTTTAAACCACTGACCTTGTGGTTCAAACCAAACTTGCAGTCTAGTGCTCCATCCCACAGTGCCACACCATAGAGACTGGTTGTAGTTGTTAAACAAATTTAAATGTACAATTATGGCTAACTCAATACATAATTTCAGGAGAATATCATCTGCATATC